AAAAAAAAAAAAAAAAAAAAAAAAAGAGTAGGAGGAAAAGTTGATTTTCCAAGGTAGGAAATCTAAGTAGCCTGATTTATTCAGCTCATTCTACCTCACACATACCCACTCTAGTCAAATGTCCTCTAAACCATTCTGCACACTAACTAAAACAGAAACATGATGCTTCATAAAGATGGTGACTTTCATCAGCTATGAAGCACTCAGACCTTTTTCTACTCCTGTATTTTTAATCACACAAATGTCATCTACTGCATCTTATAATTAGGCATATTGAAGTTTATTCTGCATTACTTTGTTACTATTTTAACTTTTAGTTTAAGTTGGAATACAAATATTTTACCATAATCAATGCTTTTTCATCTTGAAGCAGGAACTATGAGAACTCACTGTTTAAAATCGTATCTATATTTACCAGCCTCAGAAAAGTGTTTTGAATGATACAGGCCTCTGCACTTCATTAGAAAGATTAGGGAGGAAAAAAAAAAAATGACAGGATTATTTAAAGTCATGTGCAGGAAAAAAAAATGAATTTGTAATTGCAACTCCAATGTTTCATAAATATTCTCTATTTCCATAAGAAACCCTCTAGCATTTACATATAATTAAGCCAGCTAATAAAACACAATCTTTCCAAGTTTTGTGTATGAGGAAAATCCTCATATAACATTAGTACAGCATGGCTTAAAAATAAAACATATATTTGTCAGCAAATATAAAAACAACAGTTCCAGATTTATATTTTAGAAAAAAATTAATTATTTTAAGCTAAGAGTCTCTACCTAAATTTATTTTAGTATCAAACAACTCCAGTTAATGATGGGGCAAAAGACATCTGTAATTGTAGCAGGATGTTAATTTATTTACAAAAACTATACAAAATTAGATTAATTGTAACATCAACTTATCAAAGCTTCCTGAAATCAATTTGCTTTTGGAAACGTATCAAAAGTCTTCAGATCCAGAATAATAGTCTATTACTTTTATTTCGTGGAATTATAGCACATCAGATCTTTAAGCAAAAACACCAGATAAAAGCCTGTATGATAAAATATTCTCCTTTTCATGATAGCTTGGAATGTAAATGAAAATGTCTTCCCTTTTTATTGAAGGAAAAAACTTGAACAAAGTATCCAATAATATCAAATACTTGTTAAATCGCTTGTCTGCTGGAATTAAAGCTAGGCAATTACTTCTACTCTGTTTAAAACTGTCTTAAATTATGTCCTTTTTTTCTTTTATAAAAAATTTCTCTCAGCCATTTCAGACCTCTAAGGCTTATAACAAAAACTGTCATTCAGTTTTTACTGGTAAATCCATACTCACAGAAGGCATCTTCAATACAGTATGTATTTTAAAATTTCTTCAAGTGTTAACAAATCTAAGAGCCATAATTGCTATTCTATCACAAAATATAGTTAGCCTTAAGAGCAGCACACTTGGTCATTCGTTCTTAAACTTTTAGGGTTGATGCCAAAACACATAAACATAAAGAAAAAAATGCTATAACTCTTTGCTAACAGTTTTTCATTTACTAATTTGCAGACACAGCTAAATACTCATCTAACAAAGTATCCAGGTTATTCAGCAATATTTGCGATGAATTCATAAAATAATAACACACATACTGACAACAAAAACCATAGGTATTTTAGCCCTAAGATGAATTTATCTAATAAGGGTTACATGAGAATTATCATCTAAGACCCAAAATAAACTTCAGATACAAAATATATGACATGGGCTTTGTTCAAACATACCTAAAATTCAGATTCAAATTAAGTAACTAGGCTGGTTTTTTTGTATCACCAGCTTTCATTAGAGCTTTAATTGCTCTCGCCCTCATCTCAAGTTCTAGCAGCTCCAGCTGCTGTGCAGAAGGCTGAACATCTTCTGGAGGAGGCACAGGCAGGGTGGCTGCTTTGGGCTCCTTTGGACTAGACTCTGCCAGTCCCAGAATCTCATTCACACTTTTCTCAATGTCTTTCTCCAGGTCATCTATCTGACCAGCTTCACTCTGGCCTGTATTTTCTGGGACCTCAGGAGCAGCTGCTTCTTCGTTGCATGGGCCTTCTATGTCGCTGTCATAAGCATCTGCATTTATACTGAGTACATCACTATCTTCCCCTTTGCCTGTAACAAACAAAAAAGGGGAAAGAACCATGTAACCTAAACACCCTGGTCAAAATTTCCTTTCTACTTACAATAAAAGGGCTGCTATGATCCCACCTCCCACCATAGAATCCCAAACACATTCCATGATCCCCATCACCCTCTTTTCACCTGTTGCCTCATTTTGAAAATACCACTGGGCAATTCACAGCATAATACGGAATTCTATTATCTATTTTCCTTATTAAAATGTTATGACACATAATACTACACTAGAGCTTCTACATTACAAAATGAAAACTGAGAGTGAAAACCCTTTGAATAGAGTGTTGCTTGCTATTGAAGAAGTAAAATTCCATTTTAAGAGGAGTTTCAAAAACTTTGCTCTATAAACTGCAAGAAAGGAAAAACATCACTGGCAAGCTGGACACCATGTGCACTCCAATTATCCCAAATCTTTTCATGTTTTTTTCGAACACTTTGTTCTAAATCAATAAATTAAAGGAGAATGCCTAAGGCCATTTTCTAAGGTATTATAATAAGTTTTCATAAAGAGGATTTATTTAATGAAGTTAGTATACCCTAAAGTTTAAAAATACATTTGTTACAAAACTTCTATAACTGATGCTAAGAACTTGAATACAAATGAAAATTATAGCCTTCAACCACTTTGGTCTTGGACATTACTTAAAGTTCAGGTGTCATTTACAATTTTGAATGTTCATTTATATCTCCAATTTATTTATCTTGTAAGCTCCCTAACATGTTTTTTAAAAACAAAGTAATATAATCTCCCAAATGTTAACGTTGTAAGCTTTCTTATAGTAGGGAAAAGTTATTTATATAACAAAGACAAACAGATGGAAAATTCTGATAATAGAATATATAGGGGAGGAGATAAACAATTCTACTTCATTGATTTTACAATACAATTTACTGACCTTGACGGATCCTCCTACATTCTAATAATTCAAAAACTACTCCCTATTCCAAAATTAAAGTGGAAAACAAATCAATAAATTATCTTTGTGTCCACAAATATAACTTTTAAAAAACAAAAAGGTTGCAATTTTAGTTATTTAAAGCCAGACAACATTTTACATATTTCTCCAAAAGCACAAGTATTTCCAAATAGCTAAAGAAAAATGAATATAGCCTTTTGTGTAAAGAAATAATGTATAAGTATTTATATAAGTATTCTAATTTGAAACATGAATAAATTTAATTAAGTGTTAATTGCTCATAGTCTCAAAAAACTAATTTCCATGCCTGGCAGGCATTAATTTAAAACTCTAAATCTGTAGTCTCTGATTCTTAGTGAAAGTCTGCAGTGTGTTTAAAAGACTGTAAAACATAAGTTTTTGAAAACATGTCATTTATTTTTCAGATCAGAATTTTTGTCTGATAGTGAATGAAGAGCTGAAGAATACAATGGGTGAGTTGGGGGGAGGGGGAGTCTGAAAGTTTGGATACCTTAGTTCTAATTCTTGCCCTATTAAGTATGTGATTTGGGGCAAATCCCTTACATTCTCAGAATTTCTCTTCTGTAAAAATTAGGGCAAATTATCTCAGGCTATTTCTAAGGTCTGAGGTCTAGTATTACAGTAAGTTAAGTCTATATAAAAACATACAAAATGGCAATACTCTTATTTTCTTCCCTAAGATACAGTTACTAACTTATCTAATACTTAATATATTTGTCACTTGGATAATAATCCAAAAGAATTCCCTATTGACAGCGGTAGCCAATGAAAGAAGTAACAAGTCAGTAAATCTAAATTTTTTTCACCAACCTTTTTGGCAATAGATTTTTCTAGAGAAAAGCAGTACATTTCTCTTGGAATGTCTAGGAACTATAACTGAAGCTCACTACTATCTTGGGTCCAGGGATCAGTGTATACTGTCACAACTATGGAAACTCTAATAAGTTAAATAAAAAAATTTGAAGTAGATGCACTTTTATGAGATTAATTTGCTTTGAATCTATATGTGGATAAATAAGAGAATGATATAAAACTTAAGAGATATTTTCATTAAATAAGTGGAGAATCTACACTAGTAAATTCTGAAGACATACACGGTAAATCTTCTGGCTGAATGTCACTGTCATTCACCATCAGGCTGTATTTTTTGCCAAAAACTACAGGGATATATATAAATATACATAGATTTTTTTTAAATGGAATGTATATTACGTCCATCTTATTTTTTTCTGGGGAAGAGGTCCATAGCTTTCATACTTTTCAAATGGCTAAGAACCAGTGAGCAATATATAATATATAATTCAGATCATTTTTTAACCTATTTATATACATAAGCTTATTTAAGAAATAACCACAGATAAAGAGCTCCTCTGCCCCAACCTTGTAATAATAAAATCTGTTTTTTAAAGTTATCAGCATCAGAGATTCAGGATCAAAATCTTTATACACACACTTCCAATGTTTCAAAGGAGGAAAATCCTGACAAGAATTTTTTTTTTAGTTCTATTTTCAATGGGTTTGTTTCAAACTTACTTGGGCAGAAAGTAGGCTTTGCTTTATTTCTTTATTTTTATATCAGAAACAAGTATACATTTTCTATCACTGAAGAAGGGTTGCTCTATAAATTTGGTGTTCTCTTTTTACATTTTAAAAATTATCCCAAATCCAAGTGACTGAGTTGTGTGTAACACAGTACTGGTTAGTACATTCATAGTTTCCATCTGCCCGTTATATATACCTGCACCATGGATGCCAAAGCTTTGTAGAATATTTTCCTGAAATAAGTTAACATAAGCATTTCATTTCACAAATGTGAAACAAGTCAAGTGATTTGTACAATGTAACATGACAAACTATTTGAAGACCTAGGGTTTTACTTCAGGTATTTTAACTATTCCTTTATTTTCATCATTCTACAGATATGTTTTTAAAGCATCATCTGCAAACATATGAAAACATTTCCAAAGATAATTTAATCTCATCTGTAGTATTAGGAAATTGCAGTGCTTTTTCTTATCAATTATGATCCTCAAAGGAGAAGGGGTAAAATCTGTACACTCTTTCTAAAAAAGTAACCTCACCACAAAATGTCTCATTCAAAGTCTTTAAAATCTAAGTGTGGTCATGGTCTGTCCTTCCACATCCCTACTCTGCATGGATGTGTGTGTTTTCAGGGGGAAGTGAAAGCCCATTTAAATTATGAAAATTCCACAAAGAAGCGTCTTCAAGTTTTCACACTTTGGGGTTAGGAGTCTGAGAGTAACAAATCAATCTAAGGTAAATTATTTCTACTCTTCTAAAGGAAATAAAAATAGTTTCAATGTATGCATGATGTTAAACTAGGTTGCTGAAATCTACCAAAAAAAATGCAGGTCTGAGGTAAAATAATACAAATGCAACTAAAAATATTAAGAATAAGAATTCAGACTATTAACTTTAAAAAGACATAATAAACAAAAGTGGCTCAGGGAAGAGATCAAGCATAAAATTAGATCCAGGTTACTGATGTCATAGTGTAGGAAAGTAACTTTAAAGTATACACAAAGAAACTAGGATATGATACAGTCTTTACATTAATTCTGTTCCTTTATATAATCCAATAAGATGGCTGGCCCTTAAAATACTACATACCACTTAAAGCACTTCAGAGAAAGGCAATATAAGTGAAGAAATGGAATAGATAACTTATGAGAAAGGATTAAAGAAGTTTAAGAGCTTGGTTAAACAATATTACATAGGAAGACAAAGTAAAGTTAAAATATAACAAGGAAAAAGTAATAAAGAGTTCGGGAATTTATTGAACATTCATCTCATGGCTGATGCCCTAGCCAACTACTCACCAGGATACATTCTATTCCATATTCTTCTGCTCTGAATACTTTCATCATTTCTCTTCTCTTTCATTTTCTTGCTATCTTTTATTCAAACTTAGTCTCTGCACCCAACTACCAAAGATAATTTAAATAACAAACTAATCTATCTAGATTCAGTATCTAGACAGCAAGATGAATCAATCACCATCTAAATTCATCACTGACACAGATGAATGGAAATAATTTACCAGAGAATTATTTGTTCATATTATTTAATGAGGTATAGTTATGAACATGGGATAAAACCATAAAGGGAAAATATTTGGGAACTAAGTACAACACACAACAGCCTTTAAGAATTTTATTGACAAGGTGAAAAAAATACAACTACTAAAGACCCAATCACTTTAAAAAATACTTTCAGTAAAATAAAAGGGAGTATACTATATTATAGGAAAAACTAAAGTGTAACACTTGTATTTTTATTATCTATAACAAACCTAAATGCTTAAGAGCTGGAGAGATTCCCTAAGCTAGATAAAGGAAACATATTCTATGTCTTAGGTTTGCTTTTTGTTAAAAGTTTTAAATAGTCAATGAAAGTAGACATGCAGACAAGAATTACTAATCATATACATTTTGAGAGATAAAAATTTAAAAGGATTTTTAAGTTATGCTAGCATATTTAAACCTGGATAGGGTCTATAATCTACTTGTTAATAATTCAACTTATCAAAATAGTTTTAATGCATAAAATGAAAGCATATCTAATGTTATGAGTCACTGCATGCTTGTGAAACTTCTTGATAATGAATTACTAAATTATGCTGAGACAAACCATACAACATGGAATAATTAAATATGTCTGAATTCCTGCTAAAGACGGCAAATTGCACAGACATATCTAATTCCCTTCCCTACCCAGAACCCAGTGAAGTGACAGAAGAGAGATACTTAAAAATAATAGCATAAAAATTATAAATTAACTGAGGATAAAACTAACAGTAGTCCTTCCTAAGTAAAATACAAAATGGAGAATCCACAAAAGAAAAAATTTAACAAATGCAGTTAAATAAAAATATAAGACTTCTGAGAAAGAAATGATAAAGTTTCAAGATGAAAGCAAACGACAAGAAAATATTAGCAAAATACATTTTTTAAAGGAGAAATATAAGAATACATACACTAAGTATCATTAAGTATTAATGAAAAATATGGGCAAAAG